AAATAATTTTGAATGAATTAAACCTTGCTTATAAAATGAAGTTGATTAGAAATGTAATCGAGTTTTTTTTTCTGCTACATGTCTTAAGAAATTTGAATATGAACTGACTACTTCCTTAAAAATTTGATGAGCACAGAAAAAACTACAAGAAAGAAAAGTTGCCTTTCATTCAGAAGATCTAATTTTAATCGATGAAATTAAAAGATGGTCGATTTTTATCAAACACAAGTCAAGAATAGAAGATCATATTTTATGTTAGAAGACCACGACACACTTAAAAATTCCATAAAACATAACAGAAGACATATGAGTTCTTTAAAATTTTATGTCGAAAATTCTGCTGACTTTATGAAATTCAGCACATTAAAATTTTGTTTTTCAGTAATAACTTTATTTTTGAATTATAGTAAAGAATAAGTATAAATAAAAATAAATCTTGATATTTATAAAATGAACATAGATAAATTGTTTATTTTTGAAAATTAAAGAATGAAGAAAAATTTGTTCTGTTATAGATAGATAGACAAATACATAGTATAACAACTGGATATGTGAAGCAATATTCTTTCTTGACATAAATATTACTTCGACATGTCATATCATTAGACAATCAGGCGAGTGCATGAAAAAAAGAATATATATGCAAAAAAAACTTTTTGTATAGTTCATATACATCTATGGTGTTTATTTTTGAGAAAATAAAAAAATTTTTAATCTTTATTTAAAAAATATAAAGAATTTACTGATGTTTTTTTTATAAATATAAAAATCGTACTTATATTTATTAAATAAAATAAAGTGAAAAAAAACGTGACCCTAGTAAAAAACAAATATTGTTTTGCAATTAAAATTACTTTCTTCTTTTTTCCTAGCACGGGGTTTAGTGACTAAAAGCATCTGAGAATATCATTATTTTATTGAAGATTAAAATCTTGCAAGAGACATATTCAATTTATAAGTATTATTCTAATCTGTTGGTACCCTGCATCCTGTCCTTAGAGCAGGACAAGAAAAAAAATACTCCGTGACAGTCTCTGATCTGAAACTTGTCTGTGGACAGAATTTTAGATGGAAATTTTATTATTAAGATTTCAGGAAGGGTCTAACCTACAGAAAGAAAATTTCAATATAAAAATGTTACAGTAACAGAAAAACTGATTTTGTAAATATCGACGATTTTAATGAGAATAGTTTATTGTGAAAGTGTCACATATTTTCATTTGGTTCTATCTTGAAATTCGAATATTAATCCAGTTAATTGATGTGAGTGATCTACAGGATATGTTATCAATTCGAAATTTGAAAATCATTTTTTTTCGTATTGACACAACATTCATTTAAAAATATTCTCTTAATGTAATTTTTATCAAATCTTTACTAACTAGAAATCGTTCCATTATCGCCTGCTGAAATAAAATTTTCAAATGTTTCTTCACAAATTACTAATAAATAATTCTTTAAATAATATTCATACAATAACTATTCAACAACTGATTATTTATTTTATTTGGTTCACGTTATGCATCAAGTATCAATCGTGATCAATCCATGAGAATTTGATCTATTCTGGTGTTTTTTTGTTTTCTATTTTAGTTTTTATTGAACTAAAAAATTACTCTTAAAAAATATATCAATACAAATGAAAGTCATTTTCAAGTTGCAATACTCGATTTCCTTGTTCAATTACTTTTAATTCGTGTTAATTATGATTGATTACATGCTGATGAATTTCATTATATTTTTAATCGTTTTATTTATTTTTCAAATAGCATTTTCTTACTTATATTATCAATCAACTTGAAATGATTGAATAAACTATGTCAGATTATGATATATCATCACATTTTGTTTTATTGTATTGCTAAATTTTTTGTTATGTTATCAACATAATAGATTTCATTCAAAACAAGTTATTCAAGTGAAAGATTTAATAAAACATTGTGATTAATTAATAGCAAATGGACATGAATTTGAAACATATGGTAGGAAACAAAAACAAAAAAAATAGTGTGTGGGTGTGGGTAAAGGTAAGATTAACTTCCACACCCTTACCCACACCCAAACCCTAAATTGTTCTCTTAAATCAAATTTATTGTTAATATTTTTTTTATTTAATTAGCCATTGATACTCTTCATATATTCATCAACTGTCGCAACGAGGTAATCGTTGGCATCGATTGAAAGATCTTTTCTTTTTCACATTACACAAAATTTTTCGTTAATTAAATATATTTTCCTCCATGTTGTATCGTTTATAATTCTATTATCTATTGGTACTTCAATGATTTTTCTATAATTTTAATTGTTCGTTTATTTTTTGCTGTTTTATAAACCCTTTTGTCGTCATTATTTTCGTTAAATTTTGCTATAGATTGATCAATCATTTTTAAATCTTCAATATTCGTATGATCTTTATGTTTCTTTTATTATTCTCAATCTTACTTCTATTCATTATGAAACTCCTTTAATGATTATCTTATTTCATAAACACAAAAGTTTTTGATCGAATATTATATTTTATTGTAATAAACAAGACGTTATTATTATTTTTTTATTCGTATTGCATTTTGCATCAATAAATTTCATTCAAGAAAATTAACTTACTGTGGAGGTATTTGTATTGTAATCGAGCTAGGCTTGATATTTTGGCGTCAAATGAAAGCTCTCACCGCCAAACTAACAAGGTAAAAATATTAGCTACCGTTGGCTTGCCTAGAGGGAGATATTGAGATTTTAAATTTAGGTATAAAAATGAATCAGAAAAGGTTTTCTCCACTATTATAAGGACAAAACATAGTGTTGTTCGGAGCGATTATGGGGTTTGTAGGGTTCCTCCTTCATATGGTTCGAACAACACTATGTTCTGTCCTCATAATAGTAGGGTATTTCTATCACCCAATAGGAAAATTAAATCTGCTATTATAGGGTCCAAACACAGGGTTGCTTGAGCCATATGAAAGAGGAACCCTACAAACCCCATAATCGCTCCGAACAACACTATGTTTTGTCCTTATAATAGTGGAGAAAACCTTTTCTAATTCATTTTTATACCTAAATTTAAAATCGCAATATCTTCCTTTAGGCAAGCCAACAGTAGCTAATATTTTAACCTTGTTAGTTTGACAGTGAGAGCTTTCATTTGAGGCCAAAATATCAAGTCTAGCTCGATTACAATGCAAATACCTCCATTGTCAGTTCGACTGTCAGTTTCTGTCCCAATTCCGACGAAGAAAGAAAAATATTCGTTCCTCATTTTTTCGGAATCGGATTCCATCTTGTTCATATCTTATAAGAATACATGAGTGATGACAATATGACATTCTAGGTAAATTGAACACAGCTGTGAAAGGTATTTGTACTAGTGGAAAAACGTCGATTATTGTCTGAACCTTAGTCATACTTGGTCGATATCTGATTCTTTTTGTTCTATTAGTACGTATAATCAACGTCAGAGAACAATTCCATTTGTCATCAATTCGGAGAACTTCAGTTCTAGCATCGATAAATAGAAAAGAGGAACACAAATAGACGGTAGTATCCTGCAGGAATGCTTTTTCCGAATCCATCTTCTGCTTGGAACTGTCTGGGTGTAGATGTAAGTGTGAATGTGAGGTGTGACTGTGGTGGAAGTGAAGGTACATACTAGCATCCACATACTTCATGAGACATGTGTATAAAACCAACATCACTCATATTAGTTGGTTTATAAAAGCATTTTTTTAAGTCCAAATCAAATGTCATGTTTTTTTTTATACAAACAGCAAAACATGCTAGATGAGAATGACAGTAATTACAAAAAGTATGGAATAAGACAAATATAACTTCTATACACGGAATTTTTTATTTTGTTATTGTTAAATCGGTTCATGATCTTCACTTCTTTCGTATCACATTCATTCAATGTATTTGTCTATCACATGTGTTGATATATGACATTCATGATCGATTTGATAAATCAACAATAATTAATACTAAAAGAACTGAGTATCTAACATATCCATTGGGCAGATTCTACGATTTTACTCTTTAGTTTATTTTAATGGAAAACTGTGAACAGCAAATGATTGATTTTTTTTTCATGATTAAATTATTATCAATATAATCCAAACAATAAAGTATCATCGTTGATAGTAGATCATACTTACAAAAAATCGAACCTAGTTAGATAATATTCTATTGTTTTCTAGTTCGCTACAGTTTCACTTAGAAATAATAGAAACTAATATAGAATACAACGAATAAGTTTCTAATGAAAATATTTTTTATTTAGTACAATATCAAATGATGAATAATTTATATTTTTGACTCTTTTATAATGGAAAAATTTTTTGATATGATTTATTGCTATTGAATCTATCTCACAATATAAAATTGAATTTACAATGAAGGAAAATATTGATAAACATCTTTGGAAAATTGTCTTGATTCTTCAATAATTAATCGTTCCACTTTTGAACAATTGCGTCGCGTTGCATTTCTTGTAAAATTCATTGTTACAGTTTTTAATTGATTATATTTGATTTTTAATTCAGTTAGACAAGGTAAATGTGTCTTTGTTTCGAGTAGAAATTGTACAACATAATCTATATTGACATACGCAATATCAAGTGATATAAGATGAGAATATTCAATAATAGAATAAGATAGATTGTTATCAGATTTGAATTCATCACAATTCCATGATTGTTCCATTTCATTTTTCAAAGAGAAACATTTAAGCATTGGACAATCTCGATTAATTCTCATGAAGAATTCATGTTTCATTGAAACTTCATCGTAGACATACAAATGAGTTACAGTATTTAATCCAATAGTTGGAAATTGATTTGTGATTTTTTCCAGATAAGTAAATGTAAATGGAAGCGAGTAAACATGTGTAATCGTAGAGCCTATGACATTATCTAAGATACAATCCGTTTGTCCATATTTCCAGTTTGTAAATGTTTGTTGAATATTTTCAAGAGACTTATGAGGAATTAAACGATGAGTGTAAATTTCTGTGCTTATATAAAAGATAAATGTCTGAAGTTTAGGCATATGAACAAGAATTTCATTATGAAGATGTGTACCATCAATGATGTAACGATTTGGTGTACGAATACGAAGATATAAAGTTAACTTTTCAAGATATGTCATGCGACGAAGAAGTGGAACAACCAACTCGTCATAATCAAAAGTAATATTATAACTTGTTAATGAAAAACATTTTAAATTATGTAACTCATCCTATAAAATACAAAAATATCTTTGAAATAGATATTTATCACTTTTTTCAAGAGATTTTAAAATCTACATGAAATATCTTTAATATTATTAAATAGAATAATTCTCATTTCTACAATGAAACTATTATTATAAGAGATAAAGTGTATTGGATAGAAAACTCCATTGGCTATTAAAATCACTATTTGGATTGGAGCTACGTGCTTAATATTATGAAAAAAAACCCAAAAAAATCGTTGTTTCTAAACTTTTTTCCATCGCTTTATTTAAGGTAAGAGAAAAATTTCTTCTGAGAATATCATCTTTCATCATATGTGTATTTTCAAGTTTTTTTTTCAATCCAGAGAATTCTATGATGAATACATAACGCGAATAAATTCTGCTATTTTTTTTGTTGTTGATGATTTATGAAAAATTCCTTCCGTCCTGTTAACTATG